ATATATATACATATATATAACATGCTATTATATGCTATAATAATAGTTCAAGCAGTAAAAGTAGTTTTTCATTTGATTTTAAGGTTTAACAGCCATGTAAATAAATTCGCTTTAAATTCCAATTTTGATGTTTCGTTGTTCAAATATTGTCGTTTTACATGAGACCTCAGGACCATTTGTCCATGTTGATATCCACTTTCAAGGGTTGTCAGCCCGGCGTTCGCCCAATTTACAGCCGGTCGTAAATTTCCCTTATTCGGACCACGGCGGCGTACCTGTAAATTTGGGGACGTTTCATCGCCGAAATATTCTCCTATCCTCCTGGGGCGCGGTTCGGTCCTTGGAGCTTTTTGTACGCTCTTTTTTATGGCGAAGGGTTATTTTAATCCAGATTACCTAGAAGGCTGGAGTTAACTCGTTAAATAATTCATGACAGCCGGTCCTTGAAAAAGAGCATTCCCGCCGTGGAAACACATTTTTTCCCTCGACGGGTTTTTCAAACAAAATTGTATTCGTTATGTTTCTAAATTACGCAAAGTAATCATTTAAAAAAACTATAAAATTACTACTCAAACTGCATTTATTGATAAGCATACCTGGATCCCGTTATAATTATATTAGTAAAAAAGCTAAAAAAGCTTGTTACATAATTGTTTTAAAGTCACAAAATAAATATAAACACTGAATCTCATGAGGTATGATCTGGTAGATTTTGATGGGCTATAATATGAGAATTATCCATAATAATTGTATATTAAAAATGGATAAGGAGTAATTTGAAAGAAAGAAAAACATTCGGTTCCTTCATCAAGCTTTCAAAGAATACATCCCTACTCATCAAGTATTTGAAACTACTACTAATCATTTACCTGGTTAACATATATAAACATTTCCTTACAATGTTAAAAATTATGACATTACGTAAAAAATACTAGTTCTTTTCTGTGCAATAAAGAAAATTTTTAGAGATGTTCAAACTGGTCAATAACTATGATTCGATTTCATATTTTTTAACATCAATGTTAGTTCATTTTTTGTAAAACTGACGTTTTGGCCTAATGTTAGCATTGATGTTTTTTGACTGGATACACAAATTTACATCAATTGCGCGTTACCGGGGATTTCACATGGGTTGGGTTAGGTTAGGATTATGTATAGGTTAGGGTTTTGGTTAAAGACAGGTTAGGTTAAGTACAGTTTGATTAAATTGTATGGGCTCACTTGAACCGGGCCAGATTTCTTGTCGACTCTTGCTGCCTAGAGATGTAGAACTAGCTTGCTCGATCTTGTGAAAGCGAATGCACTGGGGATCTTCTCTTCGATAAAGACGGCATAGTGAAGAGGAAGCGACAGGCATATCAACCCTTGATCTATGGTGCCCGGTGATGCCCACCAAATCCTGCGAGTGGTCAAAACCTCCTTCATGGAAGTCTTCTGATCGCCGTCGTATAGCTTAATGTTCCTAGCCCCGGTCACATGGTCCTCGTTGTATTCCAGTACGGGTATGGCATATTCGAATATGTCCATCGGCGAAGCTGCACTCGACCTCTGTTGAGATCATAACTTTATGAATATCACAACAAACTAGTGTCAAAACTAAAAGTGTCAGGTTTCATCCTTGTTTCTGCAAAGTGAGTCGGCTGATGTGAAGCCTTCTGCCTTAAGTGCAGTTAAGGTTAGGTTTATGTGAGGTTTGAGTTTAGGTGAGGTTGGAGTTAAGGTGAGTTAGATAATATGTACATAACTCAATGTTTTTGTTTTAAGGTGAGAAAATGCGACTGTGAAGCGTTAACAGTGAATGATTTCCCTTGACCTATACTTGACTTGCGTTCCATGCCCATAACGTAGGCAGCTTTTATTATCAATGTTGTTCTCCGATCATAAAGGAAATCGGTCTCATCTATAGTCCTGAAAAAGTGTGAAGAGAACTTTACCCGTTGGCAATGGTGTTTCGGCTATGACAGGAAAGGCGTCTTCTTTTTTTTCCCAATTCCATAGCTACTATGTCTTCGGGACTCAAGTCTCTTCACAAGTCATTAAGTTTATACTGAAGACGAAGTGGGATGTTTCGTGTACAACACTGCCTTATGATCCGCCTTTAATTAAAAAAACAACAAATTCGATGGAGAAAGTGAAATTTGAAAAAATACTTATAGGGAAAAATGATATATTTTTAGTCAATTTTTTATTCAACCAATAAGTTTATATTTAACTGACTCTCGTATATTAGATTCTTTTATCAACGTCGTTTGATTTATTAACATTCACATTTTTTGACTTCTTTGTAATCGATTTTTTTGTATTGAAGTTGTATGATTGATTAACATTGATCTTTTTGGCCTACGCCTATAACATTGGTTATTTAATTTTCATGTGTTACTCAATGGTTTTTGGTATTCAAAGTTTGTTTGATATTTGGTTAAATAGATCATTTATGTTTTTTCTAGTATTTTTTTCTTGTTGGAATGTTATATTTTTGGTTTATTAGTAATTTGTTTAATTTCTTGTAGCAACAGTGCTATATTTTGTTATTTTTCAGAAATTTAGACATATCAGAATATAAATTTTTTGCTTACAACAATTTTCTTTCTTTAAAGATAAATAAGATGAGAGATAAATTAATGAAGTTTTATTCAAACTATCAAGTTAAAGACGCGGTTTGTGTCCTATTAGTTTCTTCTTAAATGTCTTATCTTTTGGTTTAACAAACCAAAATATTTTGATGGGAAATGATCATAAAACAGGTGCGACACATTTTATTTATTTTAACCAATACTCTCAAACACATTTCTAAATGTTGCAAATGTATTTTGTATGTATGTATGCAAAATTGTTGCTGTTTCTTTCGATACTAAAAAAATTGCAGTGTAATATTTACAATTTTGGTTAATCTGCCAATTTTTTAGGTCATTTTGAACAAGTGAACGTTGTTTATTGTTAAAAAAGTTAGTGTCACGAGCGGGATTCGAACCCACGACCTTCTGCTCAATACGGAGCTGCCCTAGAGGTTACAGCTCTCGCTCTTGGCACTACCTATTTTCACTCAACCAAGACCTTACACAAAAAGAATAATTAAGAAAAAATAATTATTAATAATTACATAAATAAATAGTTAAATAATTGCACAATTTATTCCCAATAAATTAAAAGGGTTTTGATCCAAGTTTTTAATATTTTTAGTTTATTTTATACTACAAGCGAGATTTTTGATGTATTAAAAGGAAGATAACCGTAGATATTATTAGTACAGATATTATCAATTACATGACTCTTATGGACAAAGAAATGAAAATAATGTTTTCGTTAATTAATCTTTATGTAAGGTATTGGTTGAAAAGAAAAGTTAGTGTCAGAGCGGGATTCGAACTCACGACCTTCGCCTTAATACGCCGCTGCTCTAACCACTTGAACAGAGGCGTGTTGAGCCGATGGTCTTGGGTTCGAATCCCGCTCGTGACACAAACTTTTTCATTTTAACCAAGACCTTACATACAAAGAATAATTAATTGAAAGATGTAATTTAGTCAATCAGACCACTAAATATAATGGAGTTAGTAAATGGAAATTTTCAATTTATTGGTTCCAGAAAAAAACAGTGGTCCAAACTTAGTTAAACATCAAGGTTACCAATACATGAACAATGTCTTTCTAAATACAATTTTCTTATCATGTTTTTAAATATTTATCACGTCTATATTTTCTTTCCAGATGTCCTAATATGGGTGTGATAGAGAGGCTCCAAGGAGCGGCTGTTATTTGTATTCTGCTCTGCCTTGCCTCTCACGCATTTTCCAACAAAATGTAAGTATAAAATTTGACAAAGGATACGTGAAACATTCCTCCGCCCACCGAGCAAGAATCAATTCCAGGAGCTTTTTCGGCCCTTCGAATTCAACCGTAAGGCCTAAATTTCAAAAAGCCCCCAGCGAATTTCCCACACGAGGCAGCCTTAGCACTATGAAATAGTGCTTACAACGCACACGGTTTTTTTCCCCCAATTCACCTTTGGATTTTCACTCAGCTAGTTATAGCTACACGTGTGCTTTCCACGAGTACTGCAAACCGTGACAAAACAAATCTAACTTCTTCTTAAAATTATTATTGGCTCCAAGGTAAGATGATAGTCATACAAATAAATCATCCGAAGACTGTCTATTTTTTCGAAACTTTGTTTAAATTATGATAAATTAGTTTGTTAAACCGTAATTAAATTTGGGATCTCCTTTGACCTATTAAGCTGTTCTGACAGCCACGTCCATGTATTAAGACTCTTGAGGATATTGTAATAAAATAAATAAAACATGGCCCACTTGTCAATAATTCAACAAACATAGAGGAAAATATTTATATTTTTTGTTTTTAAATTAAATTTGTGACAAATTAATTACGTATGAAGTTATAATTATTTATTCTAAGTAGGCAAAAATGAGTGTTTATCTCATACAATTATGATTTATTTTATAAGGGACAATTAAGCTATTCAATATTTAAATATAAAAATGAAGCAATTTAAAATTAAATGCTACTGTTGGGTTTTGAAAATTATAATAAAGCTAAGGTTATATTAAATAAATAAGGTTGTCTTTGCCGAGTATTTCGAGTAAAGTCGAGTTAAAGTCAACTTGAGCGGGTTTCTGTTGGTCCGTTTGGCCTAAATTATTCAGCCCAATTGAGACTTTTTCGTAAATGATCAATTATCCGAGTTGAATTAAAATTTTAAGACTAGACGAAGACAGAAAAGTTTGGTTAAAGCCAAAGAAGAGTACGCGAAGTTCATTTCCTATTAATTAAATTCTCTTCACAAAAACAAATTTGAATCTTTCGATTTTGTTTAGCCCCAACTATTACAGCATATTCATTTCGTAGAATGTTCAAGCGAGGAAGAAAGCCCCTAATATCGGAGCTTACTTTCGAAAACGAGGCTCGGAGCGACGAGGCCGAAGCGACGAAGCCGAGCAAACCCGAGACGGCGGCGGTGCACTTAAAGAAAACTCACCAGGGGTCCAAGTAGGTACAATTTTATCGATAATTAGGACAATTTTAGCAATAACATAAGCTGACAATATTTGTTTATATATATTTATATCGCTCTACGCTTTGTTTTTTATGAGGTGTCTGCGAAAAAAGCTCGCAGCTTTACATTCTAATTGCGCTTAGAGTTCAAAAATTGTCAGTTTTTTAAATCTCATTAAGACACCTGAGATGGGAAAAAGTTTTTCAACATTTCATTTCAAACTTAGCTTGTAAATTATAGCCTTTAGTTGCTCTTTTTTCTGCATCGCTGCCTGCTCTTCTTCTTCTTCTTCTTCTTGTCTATTTGAGCCCTAATTCTTTCGATTTTCATGTCAGTACTAAAGTAGCTATAAAACTGTCTATCTTAATATAAAAAATAAACAGGCCAACATAATAAATAATTTAAAAAACTATATGGACCATAAAACATAATCTAACATAAAAGAAAAAATAAAACTTGCTTTTAAACTGAACAAAATATAAAATATTTTTCATAAAATGCAAAAAACCTACAAACATGATCATTTTCTAATACAATATCCACGGTTAAAAAAACATGTTATAATAAAATATATTATAAAGCAATTCTGTCATATTACAATATTAGCAATGACAAATTGTAAATACTTTTTTTTTAAATACCAAAAACTGATCAATACTTATGTCATTAAGAACACCTCAAGCAATTAATTAAACTGCTATCTGTTAATGGATGTGCAAATCGTCCAATTATAATTTTGTGCCGATTTCTTTGCCAGCCTATCATCGCTTCTTCTCATCAGGATTGTTAACATGCGGCAATTTATTGAATTTCAGCTCTATTAACCTGTTTAAATAATTGTTAAAAAATATTGACATTCCTTTCATAGACAAAACTCAAATCTTGCCCAGATACGTTTCTATGTCCACACGAGATTATATCACAGATTGGTTTGTGGAGCAACGTACACATTTTAAATAATAGCTGGTTTGAGAACAAAAAATCCATTAATACATTCTGATGTTGATGTTTTATAATAAATTAGGTAGAATGTAAATATATGTAATGCAAAAAAAAAGAATCAAAACGATACTGAAAATATCGCCGTGCAAAGGGAATAAATAAAAACACTACATCATAAGCTCGGTTCATAAACTTAAATGAAAAAATCTATAGTTCTAATTTGGAAAACGTTTATGAAACTGTTATCAAATTAACGACATATTGCCTGAAGCACTGCTTCAGAATAAGTTATTTAGTTAGTTTAATTACACTGGGCAAATTGAAAACTAGACAACAAAAATGGATGTTGATTTAAAAGCCTATAGACCTTCTTTTTTTATAAACCCTGTGAAATTTTACGAAATTCGTACAAGCCCATGAAACATATATTAAAAGGGCCTTCATATGGTGCAATAATAAGTGTTCAGAATACATTTACGGAAGAACTATTGTTAGGCGAGGCTACGTACTGAGCCCGCTTTTGTTTAATCTTGCCTCAAATGATATACAAAAGAATTTGAAGAAAGGACTTTTGTTCAAACAACCAGGATAAGACGCCTTCTTTAAGCTGATGATTTTGTGGCGTTAGCTGAAAATCGTCAATCACTGCAATCAAGAAGGGAAAGAAAAATGTTGTTTACGAATAAACGAATGAATTGGTGCCCTTAACCCTTAAATATCTAAAGATAGGTCCTTAAGTCGAATTTATGATTTTGATCCCATCTATCCGAAAAGTGTTCTTAAGTTAAGGTCCAAATTAATCCGAACTGGGTTAAATTTCACATTTGCAAGTTTATTTACCGATTCTTTTTATGTAAGGTTTTGGTTGAGATAAAAAAGTCAGTGTCACGAGCGGAATTCGAACCCACGAACTTCGGCTCAATACGCCGCTGCTCTACCACTTGAGTATCGTGACTTCGATCCTCTCGGACACCACTCTCCATCCCAATCTACACCCGTTCGAATTTTCCCCCTTTCTACCATTTTCAAATGTCGTGTATCAGGATTCCATTCTCAGCGACTTATGAAGTGGCCGATGAGCTGAAGTTAGTGAAGTGATACTTCTTTTATCTCAACCAAGACCTTACATAAAAGGAATAATTAATTGAAAGAAGTAACTTGGTCAATTGACCACTAAAACATAAATGGATTTATTTACAGATTTTTAATGGTGTTCCAAGGAGCATTTTATGTTAAGTGTCAACTTTTGGGAGGGGGGAAACAGTGGTAGAAGCCAGCGACATTTTTTAAAGAAACTTTTTCACTACAAAAACAGATTCGAATGTCAAAACTTGGCTAACTTAACACAAGGGAAACCGTGAAGTTCAACCAGGCTATTCAATATCCAGCGCATCAATCAAGCCTTCATACATATTGTCAAAGCTCCTTAATACTTCACTAACCTCATTATCCACAACGTCCATGACATTCCTTTGACGACTAACTGGCCCAATCTCGAAACCACTAACCCTTCCCGAAAACGTAGAAAACGATTGTCTACAAACAACCTCAACCCTTAATCCTTATGACACACGGGAACTTGCTCCAGGGGCAAAGCCCGCGCAGGTGTTCCTTATGCAGTGAAAGATTGCGCGAAGTGTCCCAGATAAAATATTCTCATACCTTCGCTCTTACAGAGTGCGTGTAGTCATGACGAATTTAATCATGATTCTCCCAGACGAGTAGTGAGTTTCTGGGTACCTTTTCCGCTTTTTGGTAGACGTGGTTTTTTTATTGTATATAGACGAGTTTTATGGGTTTTGTTTGAATGCGAGTATTTATTAGTGCAATTGATGAGGGGCCGATTGGAAAATACAGCGTCAACATCGGCACCATATAGCAGTGTGTTTGTTAAGGAATATTTATACAAGTACATATCGACTGTATTATAGAAGTTAGTAGTATAGACTAGATTATATTTTCATGCGTTGAAGGCTGAAATGGCCTAGCTGTCGATAGGCCCCATTGGAGCTTAACCTCGTTGGTTGTGAAGGACTCCTGGGCATCTGGCTAGGTGGCGAACCAGCACCATAACGGGGTAGGTGAACCCCCCGGAGATAAGGTATATTAGGGTCAGCACATCGGGGATTGACCTTCGGGGTGAAAGGCCTTAATTCCTCATACTGAGACCAGTGTTGGGTAGTTAATCCTGACATGTGCCCTTTGGATGCAGTGCCATTATGCAGTGTTATGACCAGAAGAAAATGTATGTGCAGGCTACATATAAATGACTATTTTAAAATTTTTCTGTTGAATTCCTTTGTACGATTCAACTATTTTCCTGAACCAACTTTCTTCAAGCGTTCTCATTATGTTGCACATTAATTAGATAGTTCAATTCACTAATTTCGTGGTCTGCTTGACCAATTAATATCTTACAACTAATTAAGGTTTTCAGTTGAGATAAAAAAGTCAATAGCACGAGCGGGATTCGAACCCACGACCTTTTGAATTTTCCCTCCTTTTTGCCATTTTTCAAATGTCGTGAAATCAATTCGATTCTCGGCGACAAATGAAATGGCCACGGAGAGCTTTAGTGAAGGTATAATTCATTTTAAACTTGAAAAAATGACAAAAAGGAGGGAAAATTCAAAAGGTGTGGTTGAGGTGGGAAGTTGGTGTCCGAGTGGATCGAGGTCACGATAGCTCAAGTGGTAGAGCAGCGGCGTATCAAGCCGAAGATCGTGGGTTCGAATCCCCCTCGTGCCGTAGACTTTTTTCTCAACTGAAAACCTTAATTAATTGTAAGATATTAATTAGATATTCCAGCCATGATCCATGCGTTTCTTTTTCTTGATATTCCAAGCAATAAAACTGTAACGAACTTTTTCCTTTTGTTTATTGATTCGTCTGTTATAGACATGGTTTACTTAAAATATTACTATCTGAACATAATAAAACTTTGATCATACCAATTCAGATTGGTTGGTATATCAATATGGTCAGATCATGTAGCATATCATTTAAATCTACAAACATTTTTGCAATCAGAACAATATCAGCAAAATCTCATGTTATTCAGATTTAAGATGCAATTCCTTCCCACTGAAATGATTACAACGACGATCCAACATAGCGTTTAAATATTGGGAGATGATCTTGGTTTAGAGTTTTATTTCTGTACCCTTCAATAAAAGGTTCTGGTTTATTTAAAAAATAATATCGCTGATTAATTAAATATTGGTCTTTTATATTTAAATTGATTCATCCAAGCTTGATATTTGAGCTCAATCATAATCAATAAACGATTTGTATTTTGTTATATTTAAAATAGATTAACATTTCCGATATGAAATATTATCTGTTGATACTTTAAGAAATTTAAGATACGGTTCAATTGGTTTTCCATTTTGGAGCCTGTCAGGAAAGAGGGCATAACAAGATTGCCAATTTACCTCGGGCCATGGGTTTCCGTGAGGGGCGAAAGCAATATAGGATGGCACCACTTCCAGGTTAACATATGTAATACAAATAAGGAAGAGTTGACATATGTACAGAAAGGAAAAATGAAAAAAGCCCTGTTAACGTTTTCACACATGAACGTCACAATTCAATTCGCGCCTACTGAATTTTATTGTAATCCGTTTGTTCGAACATTTTTACCGTTCGCTTTTACGAATTTGTTTTATGGACGTTATGCCATAAATTGGAAGATTTAACAAGAGGCTCGACTTTGGGCGCGTTCTCATCACATATTTTATAAGATTTTTTTAACTTTTATCGTTTTTACTATTGTAATTAATTTTAAAGATGTACAATTTGAAAAATGAACTTACATAAATTTATAAGGAAGCATTGTATCATTTTTAGAAAATTCATGAGATAGAAAAATATATGACACGTGTCCGAATGTATTTGCCAATCGGCCCAACGAGCTGAAAAAAATTATTTTCATTATTTTAAATAGTTTTTTTTTAGATTTTTACCTACTCAGGTGTAGGTGAGTCCAGTCAATAAAAATGTCTGAAGCCATTTAAAAAAACGTAAAATTTACCTCAGAAATAGAATCAAA